TCTCTGGGTTGCCTTTTCATTCCTTTAACAGTATGAGAACATGAAGTTTTTGATTTTGGTGGAGTCCAATTTGTCAGTGTTTTCTTCTGTTCTGCTTAAGAAATTTGTGCCCACCTCTGGGTCATGAAGATGCTCTCCAGTGTTTTCTTCTGCAAGCTTTGTTGTCCTACCTTGAACAGTTAGGTCTGGGGTCTGTTTTGAATTAATTTTTGTGAGTTGTGTGAGGTAAATTTCATTTTTTCTTTGCAGATGTCCAGTTGTTTCTGCAACATTTACTGCTTAGCTCCACTCTTTCCCTTACAGAATTGCGGTGGTGTTTTGGTGCTTTTGACATAAGTCAAGTGACTATATAGGTGTGGGTCTGTTTCTGGATTCTTTATCTATGTTTGTGCCATTCTACACTGTCTTGAATACTGTAGCTTTTTAAGTCTTAATATCTGGTAGTGTAACTTCTTTAACTTTTTTTTTTTCAAGATTCTATATCCCTTCTATATAAATTTTGGAATCAACTTGTTAATTTCCACATAAAAAAAAAGCCCACTAGGAGTTTGGTACTCATTAAATTTATAGTTTTGGATAGAATTTGCATCTGAACAATAATGTGTCTGGCAGTCTATGAAAATGGAATACAGCTTCATTTATTTAGATTTTATTTTTACATTCAGTGTTTTTCAGTTTTCAGAGTATAGATCTTAGACATTTTGTTAAACTAATTGTTGTATTTCATGTTGTTTGATGATTGTAAGTGGTATTTTATTAAATTTTGTTTTTAATCGCTTGTTGCTAATACATAGAAATGTAATCGAGATTTTCTGTGTTAACTTTGTATTCAGTGACCTCACATTTACCTGCTAATTCTAGTAATTTATTTGCAGAATCTTTAAAATTGGATTTTCTACATAGACAATTGTGTCAACCACAAATAATGGCAATTTTATCTCTCCCCTACCAATCTTTGTATTTTCATTTCTTTTTCTTATTTTATTACGCTGTCTGGGCCCCCAGCTATAGCACTAAGTAGAAGTGGTGATAGTGGGTAGCCTGCTGTCAGTGAGAATGTCGCTGTGTCAGTGTGGCACTGGAGACGTTCTTAGGGCTTCAGTTAGTGACACGTTGGTAGGATTTCCCTTTGATGTATTTCGTGATTTGTTGTTTTAATTTGAACTTTGGTGGTTTGTGTTTGTCTGGTTGATTGGTATTAGTTTTAAATGTATTGATGTCAAAATCTTGGCTTCATCTGGGTCACTGGTTCTCAACTGGGGATGCTTTTTCTCCCCAGGGGACATTTGGCAGTGTCTGGAGATGTTTTTTGGTTGTCACAGCTGGAGGAACAGGAATGCTACTGGCATCTACTGGGTAGAGGCCGTGATGCCACTCAGCGCCTGGCAGTGTATCGGACAGACCCCACGATAAAGCATTTTTCAGTGAAAAAAAAAAATTGTCAGAAGTGCTGAGGGAGAAACGACCTGATCTGATTCAGCCCCTTTATTTGGTAGGAAGCCGAGGCCCGCACACGTGAACTGATTTGCTGTGACCTGTTCTAAGTAGCATAGGTGTGACACTTGCTGTATTTACAACAGTTGTCATTACTGTCAGATACTGTGAAAAAGTTTGTATATATCATCTCTCTTCCCCAAGAAGGTAAACATTTTATAGCTCAAGACACTGAAGCATACGGTGCTTCATCCAGAATTTATTCAATAAATATTTAGTGAGAGCTACCAGGGTTTGGTTTGGTTTTGGGTTTTTTTTTTTTTTTTTGAAAGTAAGAAATACAGTGATGAGTAGAGCTGACGGGCAAAGTGGAGATGATATCCTAGTGAGGAAGACAAACCAAACACAGTTAAATAAGCGTCACAAACTGTGGGAAGTGATAGAAAGGAAAAAGAGAGGCGAGGCAGAGGTGAAATGTGAGGAAGTCCACTTCAGAGGGGACGTTGGGAGTGGCTCCTTTGATGTGCTGACATGTAAGCTGAGACCTGACAAATGAGCGAAGACACCTGTGTGAACAGCGTGGGGGACTGTTTCAGGAGGAGGGAACAGCGTGGGAGGGGCGGGGGCTGAAGCAGTAAAGAACTTGACCTTTTTTAGGAATTGAGAAGACTGTTGTGTCTGGAACATAATGGCAGGGACAGTGACTTGGGCTTGGAGGTGTAGACAGTAGCCAGACAAGGCAAGGCCTTCCAGGCTGCAGTGAGGCCTTTGCATTTCATCCTCTTTGCAGAGAGAGGTTGTGGAAGGTTCTGAGCAGGGCAGGGACATGATCCCATCTGTGCTTCTAACCCTCCTGCTCTTTCCTGAACCGTGGATTGGAGTAACAGGGCAAGTGTAGAACGTCAGACTGTCTCAGGAGTTCAGCAGAGGGTAAGGCTGTCTGAGATGTCTTTATTTTTGTTTTGAACTTGGAAATGACTGGATTTGCTGGTGAATGAGAATGTGGGGCAGTGAGGGACTTCAAGGAGGACTCCTGGGTTTCTGGCCTGAGCAACGGTGACTATTGATTTGGGAAAGACTGGGGGAGGGTTGTTTTGCGGAGTGGGAAGAAAAGGACTCAACATTTGATGTTGGACATTTGGGAGGTTTCTGACAGTTACTTAAGCTTCTGTGTAATTTCATTTCCACATGCACTGTCTTCAGCAGAAAAGGTGAAAATTTGATCATTTTTCTAGAAAAGTTAGTTTATTTGGAAAAGTGTTAGACTGGCTTTCAGGAGTCCTGGGTCTGGCTCTCGCTGGTCTTGGCCGGCGTTGCTGGGTGTTCTCCTGGACTATAAAACAGGGCATGTTGGACTGAGTGTTCTTTAAGGTCCCTGACAATAACGTTCTGTGGCTCTGAATTTAAGTTATTCCATAAGCTTTTCTCTCACTGCCCTCTGCCTAAGATTTTTTATATTCTGTCCCCGCTCCCTGGCTAGGACTTTTTATCCTTTTTTCCCTTTGCCTACGTGGAATTCATACCCAGAGATTTTTGCATCAGGCCTTCTTTGTGCCTCTTTTTTCTCACTTCTTGTGCCTCAGTGGGCTTATAGTTACATACAGACAGAAAACTCTCAGATTTCCTGCCGATGCATTACTTCTGGTAACAAAACAACCAACCTTCTGTTGCCCTGTCTAGGAGGTGTGAAAAACACTCCCAAGTATTGGGGTGTCGATTTTTGCATATTTTTTGAAAATGTTTAACTATGAAAAATCTTTTAATCTGTGTCCTAGAAAACATTTACCTTTCAGTCCATCCTGAACATGCCTTGGCTTTTCAAAGCCTCAATAAAGCTTATGCCATGCGGAGGAGAATGACAGAAGCAGGAACCACTTCCGTGAGAGCTGCCTGTCTCCCTCGGCCTCCTGGAGGACCAGTTCCCACTTAGGGAAATGGAGAGGAGCCCACAGGTTCCACCCTTCCAGGGAAGGCACTCCAGTGCTGCCTGGGAATTAAGTGCACACATCAATCAAGCTGATAAGTCTTATCCCCAGTTAATACATTATAAAATATTAACAAAGTTAAATCAAATGAGTTTTTAGTTTAGCTATGTAAGTGGAAAGCAATTTTGAGGTCTGTTGCATAAAGAATTCCAGTTCCGTGGCAGAGCAGCAAATAAATGGGATTGGGGGCGGCGGGGAGGTTGGGGGAGAGGGGAGACGGTAAACCACCCGTCATTCTCTCGTTGCTGCAGCTGTGGTTCTTCAAGGCCAGCATGGTGGCTTTATCAGGTTTCCCAACAGTTGGATTTTAAGATCTGCTTTAAGAAATAAATTTGTGTTAATATTAGTGAATAAATTTTAAGGCTCTGTCTTATGCTGTGAGCAATTTGTAGTAACTAACAATAAGGCCCTGTAATAATCCAGTATTGGTTTTTACTTAATAAAATATTTAATCATAAATGCCTGAATTCTGCATCTCCCACAGGAAGGCATTTCCATGCCCACTGACAAGAATAATTTAGCAGTTTCATAGTTGAGCGCTTAATTACTCATAATTGTGAAGGGTAAGATGTGATGAATTCTTCCTCGATGGACATACTAAATATTTTAACTAAGTAGATGGCTTAAAGTAAATTAAGCTAGTGAGATCATTTATCACATTGGATAAAAGCAGTTTAAGATGACCGTCATGTCCCGCGTTCCATCAGATAATAGCACACGCGTGACTGTCCCTGCTGTGTGACTAGGCTGCGCTGTCGGGCTGGATGGCAGACTTCTCTGGGTGGGGGTTGGTGGGGTTTGGGGATTTGTTTTATTGTGTTTTGTCTGAGTCACTAACAAGGGTCCTTAGATATGTGTAGAGTTTAGTTCTCAAACTAACGGGAAACTATGGCGTTTCGCTTGGTCTGAGAGCATCTGTCCTACGTCAGGACAGAGGGCGGGACTTGAGACATGGGCTGTCCCTTACCCTCACCGTGTGCTCCTCAGGGAGGATGGGCTGATTTGCAGAGTAACATCAGAAGCAGCCAAAAGGTAAAACGAAGAGGGAAGGAGACTCAAGCAGAAAGTGTCTGTACAGCGCTCTGAGGAATTTCTGAATCAGAAGGAAGCCTGTGTTTTGGAGTCGAGGAGAGAGGAGTCCAGGCCTGTGAGGGGTGAGCTGACTTGTCCCTGCAGCAGCAGGTGTGCGGCGGCGTCAGAAGCCCCGGAGCCACCTGCGCGCCGTTAGGGAGGTTGAAAGAACTTGTCTCATTAAGTTAAGCGGCTTCCCTTGAGCGTCTTATTTGGCTTTACTTCTCTTAATTCTCTTTCCCCGGCGATTTGGGTAAAGTGTCTGAAACCACTAAAGGTAAAAGGTTGAAGCAATCCCCAATTTAATAATCTATCACCTTTCTTTAGTGTATCTGAGTGTAATTCCCAGCAGTTCCTAGCGAATTCATTAGAAGACAGCAAGTCATTAAAAGTTAATAAGAAACTATTTGTTTCTGTGAGTGTGACTAAAACCACTTTGTAAGTCTGACATTCTTTCCCAGTCATAAAAGCCTTGCTTTTAGCCAGTTTCCATTTTCTCTGTCTCTGTAGGTTACTCCTGGACGGGGCGCCTCTGATAGCAATCCACAAAGCCAGGTATTACAAGAGGAAGGATGGCTTAGCCCTGGGGCCTGGACCATTTGTGACTGCTTTGGAGTTTGCCACAGACACCAAAGCCACAGTAGTAGGGAAACCAGCGCAAACGTTCTTTTTGGAGGCATTGCGGGGCACTGGCTGTGAACCCGAGGAGGCCGTCATGATAGGAGATGTAAGTAGACGAGCCCAGGAAATGCCCCGAGCTCCCCTGTCCTGCTGGGAAGAGCCAGCTTCAGACACTTTGAAACTGTAATTGGTGGTATCAGATGGGAATAAGTGGCTGCCTGTGAAGCAGGCTTCCCAGTACGTGTGGGCTGGTGTTCCTGTAAAGAACTGAAACGCTGGTTATTCCTGACATTCTTCATAGTGTGATGAGATATACACAGTTCAAGAGACCATCAAATGCAAGTCACTGAAATGCTTTGTATGTCTTTTTGAAGAAAGCTTCTACACAAATTTAATTTTTTTGGATATTATTTAATTCAGAGAACACCTACCTGTTCCTAAAGAGTTCTCCCATTCTTGATTTTTCCCCTCCCCAGTCAGTGTGCCACAGATAGCTGAGGGTATTGATGGTCTCGGCCCTCTGGGCGGCAGGGCTGGACCTGGATGACTGGTGGCCCCGAGCCGGTGCCCTCCAGCTGTGGCCCCTGTCGGTTTACCCCTGTGTACTGGGAAAACTGTATTTTCTATGTGCGCCTTGAGGGGGAAAGAGCTAGAAAGCGCACTGCCTTGTGGTAAGGAGGTGGCAAGGATTATATTTCAATTTTAAATAATAACGCATTAGTCTGGAAGGGACCATGGAGATTGGCCCAAACCCCCATTTTATAGACTGAGAAACTGAAGCCAAGAGAGGTGGATCTCCAGGCTGGCGTCCCCGTAGCTCATTAGTGGCGCAGCTGGAGGTAGAACTCGAGGCCCTGGGCTGCCTCCCAGGCCAACTACAGATCCCATGCCCTCTTACCTCGTGCTAGGCGAGCTGTGTCACGGTCCTCCTGACTCCACCTTCCCCTTCATTCCACGTCATTCACCTAAAACCCAGTAGGATAATTGCTGGACTCAATACTGTTTTGAGAAACCATCTTTTCGGGAATGCCTTTTCCCCTTGGCAGGCCTTGAGCTGACTTTCCCAGGCAAATGTGTGTTTGGGAAGGTGGATACCTTAGCCTGGGGGACTCCAGAATTCTTCATCCCTGGAGATACTGGTCCTGGGACAGGATGGAAGGTGGGAGGGCACACAGCAGCAGCGTCCTGCTGCGGGGAGGGTCGCTACCCAGGAGAGTGGTCGTTTCTTCCCTCCCTTTCCTTGTCCACGTGTTCCCACCTCCCTTCTCTCTCCCACCCCCGTCTCCACAGCTTCAACAAGGCAAGTTTTGACACAACAGAAAACATCTGAAGTTAGACCCTGAATGAAGATTTTGACATTCTAAGACTCATTCCCCAGGGCTGTTGTTGAATAATACGCATGCTTTTTAAGGGCATAGTATGGGGCATGGTCTGAAGGAACCCTGCTTCTAGACATGAGATGGCAGGATTGATTTTTTTTTAAGTTGTCTTCCAGTTCTTGGATTTTTATTATGTTGCATTTGTCATCACCGTCCACCAAGTATATTCTCCCCTAACTTGAGTAAGAATTGGAAAAGAAGAGCTTTCCCTTTCAAGCTGATCTGTTATCCCCTAGTGTGAATTGAACATCAGATAGTCTCACAATCTGTTTAAGCAGCTGACCTGACTTGATTCCGCTTGTGAGGGACGATTTGATGGAAAGTAAGGAAAGTATGTTACATGGGAGGCAGAAAAGCTGCCTTCTAAGCCTCATTCATTCACTGCCCTGCAGTTGGATCACTTGCCTCAAAAGCTGCCGAATGATAGAATCCTTTTTTTCTGTGATCTCTTTTAAAAGGAAATAGATGTACATGTGGCAGAACACGAAGCCCTGTAGGTGTGCTTTTCATGCTTGGTTTCTAGGATCGTTGCTCTGTTACCTCTGGGACGCTTCCCTCTCCAAATGGGATGTTCCCTCAGACTGTTACCTGTGGGGTTGCCCTTTTTTACACCTTCCTCTCTTTCATTTTAAGAAGAAACATGGGGTTACAGTTGGCCATCCCAGCCTAGTAAGTCATTCGATAGGTTTTCTTGGCGAGCTCTGACGGCCCTGGACTCAGTGCTTCTTTGTGCTTTTCTAGGATTGCAGGGATGATGTTGGTGGGGCGCAGAACGTCGGCATGCGGGGCATCTTGGTGAAGACTGGTACGTACCTTCTGTGTAAGCTTTCTCTCAAACAGAACGGTAGGATACACAGTGGCTTAAAGAACAGTCTTTGCAAAGCCCACTGGGCATTTCAATTCTCTTTCTGCCACAAAGCAAAAATAAAGTGGGCTTAGGATCCGCAGGGGAGAAAAAGACAGTGTGAGAGGACTCGTGCTGTACAAAACTGGGAATGTCCGATCCGAGTTGAGAGGTGTCAACACTTCCCCAGAGGTGACCGTCCCAGCTGACAGCGTTTATGGGAGCTTTTGGGTGTACAGATCACGTGTGCGCCAAAAGACCGGTGGTTGTGGGGCTCTGTCAAAATACCTTTTTTTTTTTGCACCAGCTGTAAGATGCTGGCGTGGTCTCTTTAGGAACTGGCTGAGTGATCTGATAAAAACTGTGTGTCAATGTTTAATGTTTAAAAAAACCTTTTCTTATCTTTTCACTTACTGTTTTAGTAACTGTTTTCTATACCAAAATTAGATATCCTAAGTGTGGTCCCTCAAACAAATTTAAGGAAAGGGAAAGGACTTAATGGGAAAGACTCAGCTAATAGAGTATCATGACAGCAGGGGACCAGTCGGGTGTCCTGGGTCTCGGTCTCAGCTCTGCACCATCTGTGTGAGACTCTGGCCAAGGCCCTTCACCTCTTTGGGCCCTTTACGAATGAAGGGGTTAGACTGGTCCCTTGTCACTCTTGGTATATGATTCTGTGCAGTTTTCCTATGTGGCATGTAAATAATGAATTCCTTTCAAGGTAAAGACAGAGCAGGTATGAGAACTTAATGGGCCTTTCCGGATAAAATGGAGAGGTCTGCCCCTAAATGGCACCTGCTAAGCTTGGGACGGACAGCACAGGTTTGAGGACGGCAGCCAGGAGTCTTGGACAAGAATTGTCATCGGCTCCTGTCAGTTCAGTAGCAGATAAATGGTTCTGTAGTTGGTTCTATGAGTTCGTATGCCTTTCGGCGATAGTCTGGAGCAATTTTGTTCCTCAGTGAGTAGCACATGATAGATGCTCAGTATGTATTTGCTCCATGATTTGTTAACAGGCTCTTGATTCGCTCTAACCAGAATTTATTTCCCGTTGAGCATGTAAAGCAGCCACCTAGAAGAGATGGGAGCCCCTGGTCTAATGTCATCACGTGGCTTCCTGCATGCGCCCTCCACTCGCCATGTATTCATCCAGGGAAGTACAGACTGCCACGCTGAGTCAGGCCTGAGTGATGGGGGCCTGCCTTATCCACTCAGCCAGCATTATTGAGCACCTGCTGCATGCCAGACACAGGCGAGTTGCTAGAACTGTCACATGTACCTGAGCCTCTGTGTCAGTTTGTACCTTGTAGAAACCCCACTTGTGTTCTGCACGCCCTTGTCTCTATGGCTCAGGACCTTGATTTTCACACATTTGCCCTTAGACCTGGATCCAGGCAGTGGGTGGTACAGCAATAGTCAGTCATTAACTTACCTATGCGACCAAGCAGGAATCTTGCAAAGGAGTTGATACTCAGTGGGATTTAAGCTTGAAAAAAATTTAAAAACTAGCAATAGAGTTGCTTTATGGACCATCCCGTGGACAGGTGCTTTGAGGACACTCAGGTGAGTGAGGCGTACATTCACTGCCTTTGTACATTTGATGCTGGTTCCCTTCCTGTAGGAACTCACAGTCAGGACAGGGCTGGGAGCAGAGGTGTGGGGCAAGGGGTTTTCAGGCTTGGTGTTTGCTGGACAAAGGCTCTTAAAGAGGTAGTTGTGGAAAGCAGAAGAAAGTGTAGAATATGGTGGGTCTATTGCTGGGGAACTGGATGGAGGCAGAGGATACTGGGAAGTGCAGGAGAGTAAACAGTAGGATCACAGAAAAGGGGATGAGAGGGCGAGGGGGGCAGGCGGGCGCAGAGGCAGCGTTGAGGCTGCAGGGCGGCCGTTCTCTTCCCCACGGCCTCGGCTGAGGTGTGTTCTGCCTGTCCGTCCATCTATCCATCCCACCTTCCTTCCATCGTTCTTAAAAAAAATACTGGGAATCGGGTGCTGGGAGTACACTGGGGAATGTCACAGGCCTGGTCGCTGCTCTCGGAGAATTTATCATCTCAGCTGTGAGACCAACATTAAACACACGTGATTCCAAATTGTCATAAATACGGTGGAGACAGAGAACAGGATGCTGAGAGAGAAACAGGGAGGGAATCTCAGTTAGATGGGAAGGTGGGTCTGACCTGAAGCGTGAAGGAGAGAGTCAGGTGGGAAGAATGTTCCAGGCAGAGGGGATGGTGGGCGTGCCGGGAGCGGCCTGCAGCCCATGAGAGCAGCATGTGCTTAGAAGAGAGGGGTGCTGGCTGGGGGACCGAGGCCCTGGTAGGCAACAGTGGAGACTTGAGGGTCTTTCTGAAGGGAATTGGGACAAATCAATGGTATTTAAATAGGGACCATGTGTCGTCTGATTTACACTTGTGAGAGCTCTCTGGGATCCTGTGCTTCCAGAATGGGCTGTTTGGTTGTGGGTCCTGAATCCCAGAGTCTGGGAGAGTTAAGCGGCGTGCTGGGCCCAGGCTGTGAGCACTGAGCGTCCATCCCTCCTGCCCGCCCTCCCCTCCCCAGGCCGCTCACTTGCCGGCTCACACAGCTCCTGCTTGGGAACAGCACGTGCCACTCCCGGTCACCCCCGGGAGCGGACAAGGCCTCTGCCTGTGGGGTCTGGGCTTTCGTTTAAAAGCACTGATTTAGTAACCATTCCTATCTAAGGGCCGGTAGGGAGAGAAAGTGATTCCACCAGTTGTGGAGACGTGAAGGCAGCCTGAGCTGTCAGGACAGCCAGACCTGTGACCAGCCCTGGTGACAGACCAGAGGGCCTGGGAGATGCTGAGTACAGTGTTTCTCTGACTTGCCTCCTTGCATCCTGAAGCCTCCGTAAAAGCCGACTCTCTGGTCATTGTCAGGGTGCATCTGTGGTGGCCCCGGTGTGATGAACGTGGCTTCTGAGCAGTGGCCTCTGTTCACTAGCTTTACTTTCATTTCAGGGAAATACCGAACAGCAGATGAAGAAAAAATTAATCCAGCTCCTTACTTGACTTGTGAGAGCTTCCCTCATGCTGTGGACCACATTCTGCAGCATCTGCTGTGAACCATCATGCGAATCAGAAGCAACTTGAAACGCAGCTTTTCATCATCTGGAATGAGTCCTTGTGCTGTGAGAGCCACCACAGACGGACAGACCCCTCAGCGCTGGTCGCGATTGCGCCGTAACTAGAAGGAGGGGCACTGAGCTGCAGCCCACACTAAGCCTTGCTGGTGCCTTTTGTTTTACTTTGTAGAAGAAGATGAGAGCCAAAGAAAGGGAGAGCTGAGATTCTGTGCCATTCCTTCTGAAATATTCATCAGGTTCGCAGGGCTGGAGGGAGAGTCTGCTGCAGGGAGCCTTACCGTCTGCTGTCTGCTCCCTGGTAAACTGGGGGTGGGGGTGGGGTTCAGGCTGTGAATAAAACGCATTAAAGGGTGCATTAGGTTGTAGTTTTAATATTGAGTTCAACTGTGAGATCCATCAGAAGTGCCAAGTGGGGTGCAGGACAGAAGCAGCAAAATGAATTGTCCTTTAGCCCAAGCCATCAAGTGAATTTGCTTTAACAGATGTTGAAAACTAGATTAGCTACTGTGTTATTCCCAGCACGGGTGACTTCTTTTTCTCTTCATTAGCCAGAGATGACTAATTTAAATTTAGAACCTGATTTTAATTTAAAATAATATTTCCATTAATAACCTATTCATTGCAGATACCTATTACACTGTGTAACAGTTGTTTTGGAAATTTTATGTAAAATTAAAACTATCAGTATTTTACAGATGTTTTAATTAGACATTGTTATTAACAGGAACAGTGCAGAAACTAAAATCAAGCTTTTAATGTCTTATAGACCATGCATTTTTGAGGTTAGTGTCCACCAGGGTCCAATTAACTGTACATTTGCAAGATTTCATTATTTTTGCCTCTGACACTGTGGGGGAAATCTTTCAGAAGCTATTGGGACAGATTCAGGCTTTTATGTACTTGGTTACTACAGCTGTAAAATGAAATCTCGTCCTGTAGCATGGATCATTCTTCTCGTGTCAAGCCCACCAGAATGAGGGGGACTACGTAGGTACTGATTTTCCCAGTCATTTGCATACCGTGATGATCCTGGGCCTTTGCAATTGTCTTACAGGGCTCGCGGGCATTGAATTGTTAGCACGTGACTGTGCATCGCTGTAGTGTTCACCTTACGAAGCGCACGGTGTTAATGAGCTTCGGGTTTTGATGCTTGTTTAGAGATCAGCTTGGTCTTGGATGGGAGGGAGCAAAGCGAAATAAATGGCAGCTCCCTCTTTTTGGTCGTTTGGCGAACACTGTTCTTGTCTTTGCCCCAACTTAGTATTTATACCTCCTGGAGTGGGAAGGACAGCTGTGGTGGGATCACTACCCCGAGGGAAGATGAGTGCGGGGGCAGAGGGCACAGGTCCGGAGCCTCGCCGGCACCTGGCTTCCGTGACCGTGGGCCTCCCGTGCCTCCCTCCCCTGACCTGTGCCATGGAGATGACGCCGGTGCCCACCCCGCAGGCCTGCTGCGGGGGCCAGATGCATAACCTGTATGTTAAGTGCTTGGAGTAGAATCAGGCGGATGCTAAGTGTTGCATGTTTGCAGTGATGACCGTGCAGAGGTAGCAGGAGTGTCGCATTTAACTGCCTGAAAAAGGCTGGTGGGACTCATCTCAGTTCAGTAGGGAAAGACTTCCTGAGAATTTAAAACAGCCATGTCCTGCTACATCTTACACTCCCTCAGGCCAGCCCCGGCAGAGAGCAGCCCCGGCTGCAGACAGAGGGGCTGGCCGCCCTCAGCTCAGTGATTCCTCGCGAGCTGCTGTGTGCAAGTGCCATGCTGCGAAAGAAGCATCTGAGAAAGGGATTTTTGCCTTGAGTGGCCTTACTAGTTGAGCTGGGGAGAAGACCCAAGGCGGCGTGCAGACGCCGTGTCCCCGCTTCTGTGATGCCACCCTGACCGCAGGATGGGGTGAAGTGCTCCCTCCTCCCACGTAGCTCTTGCTGGATGGCACTTAGGTCTTCACACCTCTCTTGTCCCCACAGCACGGGCACTCAGGTGGTCACCGAGCCCGTAAAAACCAGCTGTGCATGTTACAGGAGTTTAATGCTGTGGGGAGGGAGGGCAACAGTTTCATGCTCGACCTACTGCCCGTAGGGGAGGCCTTAGACACTTAAGTAACGGCCAGGGTGCCCTGGAGACAGGTTAGAGCTAGAGCCCCGCAGGAGACGTCGCAGGTGGGTGAGTGGCGGGAGCGGGCGAGCTTGCCCAGCCAGGAGAAACAGCTCCTCCGCTCTTCTCCACTCTAGCCTGGCCCTGTAGGCCATTAAAATGCTTTTAATTGGGTGTTTTATTTATTTAACAAACAGTATATAGATCTTACTAACTGACCCGTCCACAGTGAAGTTTGTAAGGATAAATAAAAATCTTGGTTTAGATCGAGGTTACTGAAAACCTTCCCAGCCCGGCTGGCCGGTCTGCCTTGGGCCTCATGAGGGAGATTTAACAGCTGAAGAACGTCAAGGACTTCACTTTCTAGCCATTTCTTTTCGAGGGCTGTCTGGTGGTATTGACCCAAGCAAGGATAGTGTTTGCTTCAGCTTTTCTGTAATCCTGTCCTGACCCCAGAAAAGGGACCAAGTGACATCTTAGGACTAGAAAGGGCCGTAGAGAGGCACCCACTGTCAGGAGATGGTGGTTGAGCATCCGCTGTGAGGCAGGTGCGCACTGGTGCGGAGGGGGGCGGAGGCGGGCGGAGGTGGGCGGAGGGCCAGTCCAGTGGAGGAGGCATGGTTGTTCCAGCCTCTTCACTCACCTCCAGAATCAGCTGGTTTTGCGGTGGCTCTGCCTCTGCCATTCTGCACCTGTCAGAGCTGATGTAATGCCTGGGAGGGAAAAGGGGGCTAGCCCATGTCTAAGTGACGGCTCCATCACACACCTGTAGCTGCAGATGTCAGCAGTTCCCTTGGAATGATGGTGTTGTCACCTCACTCCTAGTCTCACGTTTAAAAATCACTGAAGCAAGTTGGACAGGAAAGTCAGAACTCACCCGCGCTGGTCGTGTTCAGCTGGATCAACGGCGTTCACGGAGGATGAAGCCACAGCCCTTGGGCACCGACAGTAAAGAATTTTGACAACTGCACTCCTCTGTGTCGTGAACACACCGACCTCTCGCAGCTGAGTCCCTTATTCCTGGCACCAGTTGTTTGCACGGAGCCGGGTTTGCATGATGGGGTTTTTCCGACATAAGTCACAAAAGCCTTCCTCGGCCTGAGTGCACAGGGCCTTTGCTGACTTCGTGTTCCGCCCGCCATCAAGGCCTGCACCGCAAGCGTGCTGCTCTCCCTAGGAGGCGACCAGAGCAGGGTGCCAGAGCCCCAGACATCATTTATCCTAGTCCAAACTGCTCATCTGTTCAAATCAAACACACTTTGAGGCCTTTTTCCAGTGCTCACCCTAATGTCACACACATCTCAGCGCCTGCTTGTTTCCCTGGCTCCTGTGCCTCAGAAAATCAGACCGTTAAATGCCCCCGAGGGTAAAGCACTAAGGGAGACGGAACAGACTGTATCCCCAACTCCTAAGGTGTGTTCTGGTTGGAAAACTGAAAAATAAAAATACATCTTAAAGTCCAAAGGGCTCTGACAGGTTCAAGATGACTGTGTAAGGAAACCCTCTCAGAGCAGAGGGCCGGCGTGCAGCGAGCGAGATGCTGCGGAGCGCGGACAGCGCTGGTGGCCTTTGTCTGTGTCACTGTAAGGAGTGCTTCCGTCACTCCATAGCAGGGAGAGAAGTCCCACAGCCACGGCGCTAACCCTCGGGCAGGGTCAACAGACAACACCCACAACCACGCAACAAAGAGACGCTGATGAGTGACGAAGACGGAGAAAGCCAGCAAGAGTGAGGGTGCCACCACCTTAGGTAAGTACAGTGCACCCGGGAAAGCCCCGCAGCCAGGACGGAGTGCAGGAGAGCGAGCCGCGGGGAGGCGGGGAGGCGGGGAGGCGGGCGGCTGGCCTCAGTCGCCAGCATCTGAGCGTCAGGAGGTGGCGAATGCGGATCAGCGGCTGGTTTTCCTAGGACGGACGGGCGATCTGGCAGAGTCGGGTCTGAATGTCCGCATCCCGCTGGAGCCAGGTAGCCCTGGCCTCTGCAGCTCACCACGGCCCCCGCCCCTTCCGTGTCTTACTTTTCGTGTGTTACTGTGTCGCAGGTTCCCACAGGCGTCTGAATGCGACCTCTGCTTCAGACGAAAATACCACATGTGGGGTTAAAGTTCCACCAACAGCTGATCGGTCAATCTCCTGTATCCCTTAAACTCACATAACTTTTAATCTGCTTAAAGAAAAAAATAACCAGAGACTAAACAGTAGATCAGTCACTCGTGTTTGCTCATCTCTCTCAAAGCCCCACTGAAATGAGAAGGAACAGAGATGGTATAAACCCACAAGGACAACCCAGAGGAGAATGGTAGAGGAGACACCCGTGGTCGAGAAGTTGCAGTAAGCTGGGAGGCGGAGGTGGATGGAGTGGAAGGCGGGACTATGGAAGTTAAGGCCTTAGAGACGGCAGGCAAGGTGGTGGGCCGCAGTGAGACACAGGGTGAAGATGGAATTCGGCAAATCTCTGCTTACTCTGCGGCAGTCCTGGTCCCCTTCCCCTTAACACCGCCAGGACCAGAGAGTGCGGGAATGGAACTGAAAGTTTATCTGACATGTTCGGCCATTTGGAAGACAATACTGGTGGGTATGTGACAGATCTGAGGATGTTGCCAAATAAAAATAAGAATAAATTCTTAGAAAATTAAGCAAAGGAAAAAACAAGGCAGTTGTTATTTCTAAGAAAGACAAAACAACAAGAAAGGAAATGTAATCCTAATTCACTAGTTGGCTCTGCAATGAACAATGTCATAATAATACTGATTATTGAGTTAACCTGAAACTGTAGTAAACCTATTTGGGGATGGTAGGGAAAGAGGTGGTTGTAATGGGACAAAGAGATGAAAGAACTACATTTTGTTTCATCCAAAGCAGGAAGTCATTAGAAAATGTATAAAACTAACAAAGAAGCAGCCACCAAAATAAAAACATGACCTAAAAACATACGTGCATGAGTGTTTACAGACTTCCCAAGGGAGCGAGGAGAGGAGGAGGGGCTGTGTGGTTGGATTTAGGTGGAGTGTTACAGAGATGGAGGACGGACGTGAAGGTGGCTTTGAAAGTGGATGGTTATGGCATTTGCCGTGAAGGATGGCCAAACCACACTGGTCCCGAATGGAGCCAGAACTCTCGGGCAGTGAGCTAAGAGTGCCCAGCCCTGTCGGCACAGAGCGTGCTGTCCGTGGCAGCTCTCCTGCCCCTTTGCCTGTTCACTCTTAAGGACACACACGGTGCACACTTACCTGTTTTCCAACCACAGCAAATGAACAATAATTGAGGTTCCGTCCACTTGAGATTTTATGAAACCAGAAAGGATGACAAAGGCCATGAGCAAATGGGCTGACAGCTACAAGAAGTGACAGCTGACAGCCTGACAAAGACAATGACCTAAAGGCACAGAAGGCAGATGCTGGAAACTGGTAACGACAGTGGTCCGAGGCGCTCGCGCTTAGAGACCTCGACACCCCGGGTGTCGGCAGTGCTGCGCAGGGTGAGCCCCAGTGGTCTCGAAGTTTCAGTTTCGCTTACACAAAGATGAAATGTCCTTTTGTTTATTTTAAATCCGTTATATAAGGTATATTTTCAATTTGACTACATTTTCTGTGAAATGACATTTTATGAGGCATTTGAGAATATTCTACTCAAAGTAATCGACACCCAAAATGTTTTTGCTTACAAGGGTAAAATCCTCTGGACAGTTTAGCCAGCCTGAGTGTCCCTTCTCCTGGAACTTTGTCTTCTCTGGGGGAGTCTGCCTTGCAGGGATGAAGAAAACAAGGCGAAGGAGAGAACAGACGGTGACTTACGGTAGGAAGGTTCTAGGTGGGGAGCGGGTGGCATGACTGAGTGGAAGCCTTCAGAGTTTACCAGGAGTTGAAAGTAGATGCCTGAGGTTGTGGGTTTCTGAAGATGCTTCTAGCTGTGGAGGAAGGCACCTAAGAGCAGGGGAGATGGGATGTCTGTTCTAGAAGCTCAGGTACCCCATCCTAAGCTTTGGCTCCACCAGGGAGCTGTGGCAATGGAAAGAGAAGGGAAGAGCACACGGGATGTGAGATGGGAACAGTCAAAGATGTTAGTAGGAGCCAGAACCCAAAACACTCCAGCTGGTAGCTAGTGGTGGTGGTCTCCTGGCCCCCACTGCTCTTAGCTCATCCCTGGAGACGGTCAGGGACACTCCTGAGTGGGGCTAGTCCGGGAGGGGTTTGCTGCTGATGAAACTGGTTAGGGTTGGAATCGGGGAGAACTGATGAGATTCAGAATACTGTCTACAGAAGCGGACTCCGTTTCCTTCCCCGTCTTGAACTGTCAGCTGATCAGGTGGTCTGCCAGGCTTAGCCTTCCGTCGGCCCCCAACGCCGAAGCACCCTGCGCGTCCCAACCCAGCTTTCCTAACCGCATCCTCCCCTTCCAAATGAAAATACCAGTTCACAAACAGGGAGACGCACAAGAAGTTGTTCATCAACATTTTATGGCCTCTCACCGTGAGAAAATCTCCCACCGCACGGCCGCACAGCACATGGGCCTGTAAATTAGAATCCTCGATATTTCACCGACATTGACCATGAAAAAACAATGAAACTGCTTCCAAAATGATACAGCTGTCCAAACCCGTCCAGTCTTCAAGAGTAGTTCTCTCTTTTCTATTCCAAGTATCGCGTCCTTCTATTTACACTAATCAACCGGGCGGCCTCTGCGGTTGTCTCTGTGGCCAGGTCAGGGTACATGTGATTTCAGACAGACTCGAACTCACTTTGCCAGGCTGCGTATCTCTGAGTCAGATTTTTTGCTGAAGGCTTGGTGTGAGCCAGCACATCCAGAAAGTCGGCAGTGGTCACTGTGTCCAGCTGGATCCCAGGTAAGTGGCTGCTCTCTAGATAAAAACACAGGCGTCACGGCACACCGATCGACCTAATGGTGATCGATGCTCTTGAAACGCTAATAGACCTTCTTTCAAGACAATGCATAATGCAGCATTCTTAATGGTTAATGCAGCAAAAGGCAAGACTAAAGAGGGCTGAAGCCCATACACAAAATGTGACTTAAATATATTGTTATAAAGTATTATTTAATATTTATATAGGGGCCGCAAATGGATCCAGCCCAACGTCATAGTGTGCCAGAGAAATAAAAGCCCGAGCCCACAGGAGTTTATCATCTCTAGGGGCAAAGTTGGTCCAAAACAGAACAGCAGAGGAGGAAGGAGTTGAGTGCAGGAAGATTTTTGCCCAAGGAAGGAGTGCTCGTGTAAAGAGCCACCAAGAACAGGAGCAGGGCGCCATCTGCTGGTGAGAGTTGAATTTTAAAACACATTTCTCTCCCGGAGCTCATCTGCTGTCATCCCAACCATACCTGACTGGTGATTTTCAAGGGCACTGAAGATCTTCCTCACAGGCCGCATGGCTGCCTCCCTGCAGACTAGCTTAATGTCCGAGCCCGAGTAGCCCTCGGTCTCCTGAAACAGCCGCAGACCCAGCCATTAGGCAGCAGCCAGGGCGCCAGTGGTGGTTACATTCTTATGGGCAGGACGCAGTATCAGAGCCCCTGTTTGGAGTCTGTATCTGTCACCCGTGAACACTGTATGAAAGCTCCCCAGGTAAGTGATGTTTGGGGGGAGAGAGGCTGCTAACGTGTGTGGATAACCTCAGAAGCTGGGTAATGAACACCTGCCTAACAGCATCCACGTGCAAGGGGCAAGATGCTGGCGAAGGTCTGGACCACCCAAGTCAGCCTGACGGGGCCCTTGTGCCCAAGTCCAAGAACGACCAAACTTGGTAGGCACTTTCCTTCTTGTATGTGAGATCACACCCGCTTCGAGGAACATCAGAGAACATCGTGTTCCAGTGTCCACTCAAAGAGGCAACGGTACCACTGACAATGGGGGTGACAGGCAGGTACCTAAAGCTTCTCCGTCTGTGAAAGACTTTCACTGAACCGTCACAGCAGCCCTGCGGCATATGTGTTACCAGCTTGCAGATGAAGAGGCTGAGGCTCAGAGAGTCAGTGACTCCCCTGAGGTCACACAGCTAATAAGCAGCGGGGCCAGGATCTGACCTCAGTTGCTCTAAGTCTAAACCCCATGCTACTTCCACAACATCACATCTCTCTCTGCCCAAATGTTTCCAAGGGACAGAGCTCACTGTTTCATGAAGGAGAGGCCCATTGCGTGGTTGGGATCTTTTCTAAGTGACTCAAGGCTCCAAACAGCTCACGAGAAGACCCTGCCCCTCAAGAAACTGTCACGTGGCCACCCCCCTGACGGCAGAGGCCCCGGGGCAGCTCACCCGGCCCAGCACGCTGTACTCCAGCTCCGCGCGCAGCTCCAGGGCGCTGCTCCTGCTCACGGGGGGCAGCCAGTGGTGGATCATGGCCTGCCTGGCCTCCCGGCTGGGGAGACCGACCAGAATCCGCTTCTCCAGGCGGCGCAGCATGGCGTGGTCCAGCTCCCTGAAACCACGCCAGAGACATGAGCTGCCTGGGGCGGTGGAGGACTCACTTCTTAAGCAACAACTCTATTTGAAGAACAAATTTAGCATTGCAGGAGACAGTTCCGCCTCTTACCTGTGACTGCATCTATCCTGGTTGGATGGGGCTGTCACTGCATGCTGTTTGGGAGAAATGGTTAAAAAAGAAGAAAAAAAGAGAGAGAGGAAGGAGGGAGGAAGGAGAGAGAAAGAAACAGAGAAAGAGAAAATAACTCCCCCAAATACCCCATGTGAAGGAGGTAATTTTAGGCGACAATTTGAGGGGAAATAAATCACAACCACCACTCCTGTAAGCGTCCTCATTGCACGTGTCACATCAGTTATTCAGTCTGATCCTGCCAGCGAATGCATTCTTGCTGGCAGTCACTCGGGCACTCTGGGAAGTGTGTGAATCCTTCGCAAACTCATGAGCGCTTCCCATTCTGGCCTGAATGGTAGCCCTGAATGGCTACCTCACGCCACTGCTTTGGTGAACTCAAGAGTGAATGCGCCTTCCGGGGTGCCCAAGGCAAATGCAGCCCTTTGAGACCCTCACTCCTGCTCCTCCCAAAACACTGTTGGGCCAGGTTTATGCACTTTTGCGTCTGCAGGCCATTTCCTGAATGTTCTTAGTACACAAATTTCAAGCAAATAGAAAAGTAGACTAAAACAGCGAATGTCCACATACCTGCCTACCATCCTGATGCAACAACAGTTAGCATTTTGCCATATCTGCTTCATATCTATTTATCTTTTCCTGCTAAATTATTTTGGTGTAAATTACATCACGAACCCCCACCCCCAAATGCCTCATATGCATTTCCCCAAGAGGACAATTTCTTACATAGCTACAATACCACCATGACGCTAACAGAATTAACACTGAGTGCATAATATGTCTAATGCTCATTCCGTAGTAAAATCTCTCCAATCACACCCAAAATATCTTTTCCAACCAAAACTCCATCAAGGATTATGCACTGCATATGATTATGTCTCTTAAATGTCTTGTAATCTAAAGCAGTCTCCTTGTCTCGGCTCCTTTTTGAAGAAAACAAGGCTAGTTGTACAATGTCCCCAATTCCGGATTCACCTGAGGTTTTGCTCACGGTATCAGGTAAACTGGCTCCTCCATCCCCTGTCCTCCAAGATGGAAGGCTCGATGTAAAAGCTTAATTAGAATCAGGAGAAA